CAGTTAGTCAGCAAAAATTTAATTAGTGCTTCTTTTGTGGTAGGCTTTCTTCTAGGCCTTGGGGGACATCAGTGAACAAAACCGCAAAAACCCCTGACCTCACAGAGGTGAAGGTGGGGGTGGGGAGAGAGCACTTATTACTTTTCAGACTACTGTTCAATTTACTTATTTGTTACATGTGAATCGTTGTCTAAGGTAACAACAGAGCAGGGGAAGGGGGACTCTGTGTGTGTGTGTGTGTGTGTGTGTGTGTGTAGAGGATTTTGAGGGCTTGTAATTCCAGGCAGAGGGAATAGCCAGTGCAAAGGCTCTGTTGCAGCATCAGTGCCTGGCATGTGTTAACAACAGCGGGGCGGCCAGTGAGCTGGGGCAGAGTGAGCAATGGGGACAGCGGTAGAAGATGATGTCAGTGAGGTAAAGGGAGTGGCAGGGGGCAGGGGAAGGGAGAGGAGGCAGATCAGGTAGGGCCTTGTAGGACATTGTAAGGACTTTGGCTTTTGCTGTGTGGTTTCAGGGTTTGGAGTATCATGGAGGGTTCTCATTATGTTTCTCTGTTTTTTCACTCGACGTTGTGTTTTTGAGAACCATCTGTGTTAATTGCTTAGAACCATTCTATAGCACTCTATAAATTTTACCTGGTGACTCTTCCAACTCCCTGCCACTACACATCATACTGCAGTGGATGCCCTCATGTGTGTCTCATTATGGATTGTGTGATCATTTCTGGGAGGTACACCCAGGAGTGAGTGGACTTGCTGGGTGGTCGGGTGGGCACACACTTAATTTGGCTTAAGTAGTGCCACATTGCTTTTCAGGCTGGCTCCACACATCTGTGCTCCCTTCAGCAGTGTACAAGGGTTCCTGTAGTCCCACATCCCTGCCAACATGTGGCATTGTCCATCTTTCACTTCTTTGCCAATCTAGTAAGTACACAGTGACATCTATTGTTTTAATTTGCATTTCTCTGATTACTAATGAGTGTGAGCACCTCTTATATGCTAATTAGTTTTTTGGGGTTTCTTCTTTTATAAATTGCCCGTTCATATTCTTGGCCAATTTTCCTACTGGGGTTCTTGTATTTTTCTTTTGATTTGCAGGAGTTCCTTGTACGTTCTGAAAATTATCCTTAGTTGTTTTCAGAGGGTTAGATTTGAGGTGGCCTTTGAGGTAACCTAGTCTAACCAACCCATTTTAGTTAGGGAAACTGAGACCCATCAATGAAGTGACTTCTGAAGATCACACACGTAGTGGAAAAGCTGAGATGAGAAGTCAGTACTTTCCCCATCATATCATGTGAAGTGAGGATCCTTTTCTCAGGGAAGGAATGACTGTTGGGTGTTGCTGGTGCCCCATCATCTGCATTTCTTTGCAGCAGTAGGACGCGTACCCTGACCAACTTTGGACCCAAGAGGCCATTGACATCTATGAGGCCCTAGGTCTGACGACTGTTTCCTCCTTCCCACTCACACTATCACTACTTTATTTTAACACTTTATCTCCTCATGATTGAGCACTGCTTTTCAAATATTAGTGTGTGTAAGAGTCACCCAGAGAACATAGTAACATGCAGATTACTGCCTCCTGAGGATTTTGAAGCACTGAGAGATCCTTAGGATTCCGATGCAGGTGGCCCGTGGACCTAATTTTGTGAAACACTGCACCAAATAGTTTTATTAGCTACCTGATCGATCTTCTGTCTCCATCCTAGAGTCACTTCAATCTGTCTTCCAGCCTGCCAAACAGAATGATGGTCCTTCCCTGAACACATCTCTCTTTGTCATCCCACCATGCTTTCACCCTTACCATCCATCTGAAGTGCTCCTTCCTCTGTGAAATCCCATGGTTTATCAACATCTAGGCCAAACCTGGTCTTCCCTAGAAAGCCCTCTCTGATTTTTCTGGGAATCAAGCTCAGGGGCACAGTGCAAATGAAGAAATATGGCTGGGGGTAGGAACATCCCCCTTGCTGGCACATTGTCCTGTGAAATCATGGTGCACACCCCTCTGTGTAAGGGGGCTAAAGACATCTCCTGAAGGTAGCAACACCCTAGACCAGCCAATCTTTGCTTTTTTAAAAAGCACTCCTTTTTATCAAGTATACACACACATGGTTTATTTAAAGAGTTGTAGTTCTACACAATTTGTTATGAGAAACAGCAGTTTCCTATCCTTTTTTGCATGTTTTTTGCTCCCCAGAGGCAGACACTTGAAACTCTTTTTGCTGATTTTTTTTTTTGATATCTCTAAAGAATATGCTTATCTTGTTCCTCTTTGATTTTGTGGTTTTAGGCACTGTCTGTTGACTTTCCATTGAAGAGAAAAAGGATTTAACCTTCCGTCCTCCCCCACACCATCCACACATGACCCTTCTCGTCCCCTGTGTTTTATTGCTCGGCCAGTTTTTACATCCAGTATGCCATGGTGGGTTTCTCTGCCTCGGGGTCTGGTACTACTTACCACCTGGCTGTACATATCAGAAATTCAGGGGGCCAGCCCCGTGGCTGAGTGGTTAAGTTCATGCACTCTGCTTTGGTGACCAAAGGTTTGCAGGTTCGGATCCTGGGCACAGACCTACACATGCTCATCAAGCCATGCTGTGGTGGTATCTCCCATAGAAGGACCAGAATGACCTACAACTAGGATATACAACTATGTACTTGGGCTTTGGGGAGTGGAAAAAAAAAGAGGAACATTGGCAACAGATGTTAGCTAAGGGCCAATCTTCCTCACCACAAAGAAAAAGAGAAAGAAAAGAAAAAAGAAATTGGGCACTCTCCTTAACTCCTTCCTCTTTCTCCTAATCCTCCCTCCACTCATTCTTCCCCAACCTCCCATATCCAGTCACTCATGGAATTCTGTCCACTCTCCCTTCAACATAACTTTTAAATTCATTCACTTCTGTCTGTTCCCACTGCCTCTGCCCTTCCTGTCACCTCATGTTTCCCCGAGAATATTGCAGTAATGCTAGTCTCCTCACTTCCTGTCATAATTCCCTCTGGTCTCTTCTTCACCTTACAGACAGAGTGAACTTTCTAAAGCACAAATTAGACCATGTGATTCTTGTGCGTAAAACTTTCGAGTGTCCCTTGGGGTCCACGGGGGAACGTTCAAATTCCTTATCCTGGTGGGCTAGACACAATACTCTCTTTACCACAGCATTTTGTCTTCCTCCCACACGGACTACATTTCCTTGCCGTAAGGCTGGGGCCATGTGAAATGTGAGCAGAACTGACATGTGTCATTCCCAGGCAGTTAAGATCAAGGCGCCTATTGCATCTCTTCTCTCTTCTGCAGTGGTCCTCTGAGGCCCATGTTCAAGGTGCTAGAGCTACAGGTGGAGGAGGGCTGCTCTACTCACATCAGACTTGAGAGTGAGAAATGAGTCTTTGTTGTGCCAATGAAACTTCGGGGTTTATCTGTTGCTGCAGCACAGCCTATCATAACCCTGAGTCACACAAGGTCTATCTAAGGTCCTTCAGGGGCTGGCCTTGCTTCTCTCCCTAACTTAATTTCTCCTCTCTTCAACTCTATATTCTAGCTATAAAGATGTGCCGGGCTCTGTCCACTTCCAGGCGTTTGCACGTGCAGTTCTCATTATTTAGAATGTCTTGTTACCCGCTCCCTCTTTGTCACTCTGCCTGCCTAGTCTCAACTCAACCTTCAAGCCTCAGCTTTGATGTCCCTTCCTCTGGGAAGCCTTTCAAGATTCCCTACTACTACTGGGTGAGGTGCCCCTTAGAACCCCGTGCCTACCCTTCACTTACCACTCTGTCTCCAAATCGCCCATTTTTCTGTCTCTGCCAAACTAGACGGTAAGCTCCTTGAGCCTGTTGACTCTGCCCATTTATCGTGCTCTCCTCGGGGCCAGGCAGAGTAGGTGCTGGGTCTATTTCTTTTGGTGGAAAGATCCAGGAGATCTTAGAGGAGCGGCTGTTGTAAAAGCTCCAATTCAGATTTCTTTTCCTAAGACTTTCAGGGTAGTTGAATTCCTGAAAGAGTATTGAGCAGTGGTTTGGGGGGACAGTCTATAGTCAGACAGAGTTGGTTTGACTTCTGCTCTTACCAGCTGTGTAATGTTGAGCAAGTTGCTTGACCTCTTAAGCCTCAATTTCATTACCTAATGGGGATAATAATAATATACCCCCCTTGCAAAATTATTGTAGTAATTAAATGAGTTGATATATATAAGCCCTTAGAGAAATGCTTGGCATACAAAGTGCCCAATAAATGTTAGATGTATTATTATTTTTAAGAATATCCTAAATGCAAATGCGGTACCTTAGATTGGATCCTGGAACAGAAAAAGGGCATTGGAGGAAAACTGCTGAAATCCAAATAAAGTCTGAAGTTTAGTTAATAGTAGTATTCCAATGTTAGTTTCTTGACAGGTGCACCACTATGAGATAACTTTTGGGGGAACTAGGTGAGGGGTATATGGGAACCCTGTGCTGTCTTTGTAACTTTTCTGTCTAAAATTCTTCTGGGATATCTGATTATAATTGCTATTCATTTTATTCTCACAATGTCCCTATATGTGAGCACTAGAATGAGTGCCATTTACAGATGAATAAACGGAGGCACAGAGAAGTTAAATAATTTGCCCACGGTCACAATCCGGATCACAGAGTAGGAATGACTGTTGGGTTGGGATTTGAACAGAAAGCAATAGTAAATGTTAATTGAGCCCCTACTTTGTGTAAGGCACTACCCTCTGTGCTGTGGCAATAGAGAATAACAGGCGGTCTCTGTGCTCAAGGTCATTACAAATAGGAAGCCCAAGTTCACACAGAGGTAAGGCTGGAAGTGGGGACAGGAACGTAGCTCATGCTCATAACCATTGCGCCAGACAAACTGGTGGGAGTTACATGCGATTCACAGTGGAATTGCAGAGGTTAAAACAGATTTGGTTGGAGGCTTAGGGACAGCTGGCTTCATGAGTGGCGGCTTTGATCTGAGTCTTGAACATGAGCATACTTGATCTGGGTAGAGAGTGAGGGAAAGCCTGGAATGGCCTTTGGGCCTGGGTTGACTCACCCCTGTCCTCTGCTCCCTTTCCCTTCTTCTGAGCCGCCCTGAGAGCTGGACCCCACTGGTGTATACTTGGCTATTCCCTGTAGTACCCCATGGAAGACAGCAGCACATAGTACACAGGGCACAGGATTTGGGGGCAGGCAGCATGGTGTCCAGCAATTGCTCTGCTGCTTATCAACTGTGTGATCTTGAGCTGGTTCCTTAGCTTCTCTGAGCTTCAGAAAAATGAAGGGAACAACGACCACCTGACCTGGTTGTTGTGAGTGTTGACTGGGCGAAGAAACATGTATCAAGCTGGGTCTGAGGCTGGGTTCTTGGTAAGGCCTCAGTCAGTGGGCCACCTCTGCATGCCTCACTCCTTTGTTTTGTCCAAACTTGATGAGCTGGTTATGTTGCCACACATTTCCTAAGGATGCAGCTCTGTGTAAAGGAAAAAATGTGGACTTTGGGAGGCTGTGCTGCCGACCGGTTGGGTGACCTCGGTCACTTGTTTAACCTGTGCAGGCCTCAATTTTTCACTAAGAAGTAATATCAATGTTATAGGATTGTTGTGACAATGTTATAGGATTGTTGTGATAATTATGAGATGGATATAAAGATGGCCCATGGACATATTCCATTAATGTCAGTTCTTGTCATTGTGCCTGGTATTTTTTTCCATTTGATTCATATTAATCTTGACTTTCCCCCAAATTGTTTGCTGTTTGCTGAGGACAGATCTTAAATCTTGTATTTCTCGTATCCCTCCCTCCAGCACTTAGCTTAGGGGCATAGTTGGTGCTCATTAAATATGAGTTGGCCTGCTTTTGGGGTGGGCTTCCTCAGCATTTAGATGAATCCAATAGCTTTTCTAGACTTTTCTAGACTCTGTTCTACGTCATCCTGCTGGACTCAAGGACATGCCCTTAGGCTGGTTGAGAGGAAAAGGACCAACCTGTGTAATGGCCACCAAACATTTTATTTATTTTACTAATAGGTTTCAATATCCAAGACAGCACTGAGGGAGTAGGAAGGGGAGGGCGAGAGAGGAGGCAGGGGGCCTGAGAAAAATGTAACAGAGAGTGTTCTCTGACAACTAAATCAGCTGAGGGAACCCATCATGGCCTGAGTCAGCACTATGTGGAAAAATCGTCCTGCTGACTTCCACCCTCTGCCCGTGCTCGTCCTCAGCCTCATCCTCGCTCGACTTGCGGAGGGCATTCTGGTAGAGCACGGCACACACGCCTGTGAGCCAGGCGGCCACAGTGCCCGCGGAGAAGATGCAGAAGCCGATGAGCAGCAGAAAGATGTAGTCTTGGCGGTCCAGGTGTGTGATGCACATGTACCGGAGCGGGTTCCCCACCTGTGTGATGGGCCACCCTGCCAGCTCTGTGGGCTCCACGCACGTGGCATTTGCATCATCTATGAGGAAAAACATAGCAGGCAGAGTGCTGAAACAGCAGAACTCCTGGGGTCCTAAGGCCAAAGGGGACCTGGAGAGGCTGTCTGGACCTTCACTACTTGAAGTGTGGTCTGTGAGTCAGCAGCATTGGCATCACCTGTACCTCATAAGAAATGAAGAATCTCAGGTACTGCTACCAACCCTCTGAAGCCTAATCTGCATCTTACTAAGACCCCTGGGTGATCTGTGGGCACATTCACGTTTGAGAGGTCCTGAGCCTGGGCTGCTTCTTGCCATGGTCTTAGCTGCTTTCACGTCACCTCCTGACAATGGACTTTGCTTCTTAAGGATCCTCAAGGAATGAGAGACCACAACAGGAGCTGGGAGGCTGGAAGCTTAAGCAAAATCGCCATGGAGTGTGGACACTCCACAGACCTCCACAGATGTTCATCGTCTCCCTCTCTCCCCTCTTTTTGACCCCCACCTGTCCCCTTCAACTTGTCTCTTTCCCTTCTCCTGTGCCTGAGCCCAGCCAGAGACCACCCAAGGGCATCACACACCACTTGGCTCGACTCTCAGGAGGGACGAGTTTCCCTGAAAATGCCTACTATGTGTTCGCTGTGTGCCCCCACCTGCCACCCAGGAGAAATCGGGGGTTGGGGGGCTCAGGGGAAAGAGAGAACCAATAAGGGAAACAGTTCTGCTTCTAGTGGTGATGTTGGCCTCCCTGGCTGATCACACGATCTACAGAAGTCTTCCATCCTTTTTAGCAGCTGACTCAGCTGCCTGGCTACTTCTCTGAGCACCTTCCCATACTGAGCACCGTGGATTTTAGTATATAACAGAAAACAAAGTGGGCTCTGGAGCCAGACAGACCAGGCATCAAATCCAGACTCTGTCCTTTACTAAGGTTGTAAAGTTTTGTAGGATACCCGATTCTTTCTCTGAATCCCATTTCCTCATCTTACAAGTGCCGAGAATGACACCTGTTCTCAGAGTAGTGGAGAGGATGTCATTGCCGCGGGTGAGAAGGCAGGCTGCTGTACCTGGTGCACAGTAGTTCCACAGAATACTCTTGCTCTGTCCTCAGCCCTGCCTGTATCCAGCTCTGTATACTCCGCCATGCTGGTGCTGAGGTGCCTTGTGAGGCGTCCAGGTGAATATATACAGCAGGCATTAGATAAATGAGCTTAAACTCAGGGTTGAGACCAGGGCTTGAGACAACCACCATCAAAATCATAAAAGCAACTAATATTTACTAACCTCTTACTACACACTGAGTGATTTGCAAATGTTATCTTGTTTAATTCTTATAACAGCCTTGGAGTACATCATAGTGTCATCCTTGTTTTACACATAAGGAAACTGAGGCTCCGATAGGTTTAACAATTTGAAGATTTGAGATAACCTGCACGATCTAGGCAGGAGACAGAAGACAGAATACCGGACTGAGCTATCTGAGCTTGTTTGGCAGAAGTGGGAGACACGAACAGAAGCTAGAGTGGACAGAAGCTTCCTCTAAGCTTTAGGGTAGAAACTCCAGACTAGGTGGACCACGGAAGTTAGGGAAATTGGGCTTAGACTGGAGCTAGAATTAGGAGAATTAGAGAAAGGGATACAGAAGGGAGCTGACGGGGGTGGAGGCAGTTGGGTTTGGGCGGCTGGCAAGAGCTGACCAGACCAAGTGCTCTCTGAGTCTGCTCCAAGCTGGACATATTCCCTGTACCTTGCTTCTGTGTCAGGACCCCTCCGGTGAAGTCGTTTGTTCCTTTCAGGAAGATGGTGTGAAAGATGATGCTGTTAGGACTCACTCTTGGAGGAGGCGGTAGACAGAGGAGGGAAAGCCAGCACAGGGCCTGTCACATCTGCCATTTGCGATGATTACAGAGGAAAGGAGGGGAGGAAGCCCCTCTCTAGAATGACTCTGGGACGGTGGCCCTCAGGGTGACCCTGTCCCGTGGGATTGCTCTCAAGTACAGGCAAAGGCGTTGGGGCCTTGGGCCTCCATTTCAGTTTGCTGTCAAGGGGCAGGAACGTAATTACACCTCTAGACCTCTCTGCAGTCACCTGGTTTGAGGCCCAGGAGGTCCCAGAATGGGACTGGTGAGGAGCAGGGGAGGATCCTGGAAACTCAGGAATTCTATGGGAAGAGCTCAGGTCACCTGCCCAAACTATCAGAGACATGGCATGGGAATATACAAAGAAAGATGTATTTGAGAAAGGAAACTGTGGGATTCTGAGGATCTGAGGTGTGTCTAGGAGGGTTTATCTCATTCTATTTTTAAAAAATTGGGCTCTCAAATTGGGGCTTGGGTGGCAGAGATGAGACTAAACATTAAACGCACATTTCCCCATCGCGGAGCATTACCTTGAAAGGAGCAATTAGGCAGTGATTTTAATGCATTGTTAGGCTGCTCTTAAGTGAGGGATGTGGGTGGTTCTGGGGGGAGGGTTTCTCTACCGCCCCATTCTCTCTCCCCCTCCCCATTCCCTGATACTGCCAAGGTGCGGGCTCTCTGTGTCTCCACCATTTCCTCATTTCCCAGCTCCAGGCCATTTCACACCCTCCTGCCAGGTTTCCCTTATGCAAGCACAGCTCATCCCAGGCACGCTGTGGCTCAAAACCCTCTTCTGACTCCCCTCTGGACCTCCGAATAACATCCAGACCACCTGGCCTGGCGTTCAGAGCCCTTGACACTGCTCTTTTTGCATCAAATGCCTCTTCCTTCAATTTTTGCGTGATCAAGTCCTTCCTATCTTTCAAGGTCTAGCGTAAACGCATCTACTCTTAAGAGCCCTTCCTCAATCCTCATCCTCATAGCTCAGAGGACAAGTGATTGTTGCCACTCCTGAACTCGTCTACAGCATTTCCTCGTATCACTCTTACTGAATCTGTCACTTTCTACCTTGTTTGGTGGTTATCGATCAGAAAAGGGGTGCGTTTTTTCTCCACGATGAAACAGACTTTTCGCTCTTGAATGTGTAATCCATGTCTGATCATTACTGTTCTTGTTAATAAGAGCTATCATTCATTAAAAGAACTACTTAAGTTTTAAATGTTTGGGGATTTCCTAGTAATATTTTTATTATTGAATTCTAGTTTAATGCTACTGTGGAGACCTACTCTCCATGATTTCAATCCTTTGAAATTTATTGAGAATTTGCTTTATGGCTGAGCAAAAAGTCAATTTTAATACATTTTGCATGTGCACTGAAAAAAATGTGTATTCGATCCTCGTTGGGTACATTGTTCAATGTATGTCACATAGGTTGTGGTTTTATGAAGATATATATCTTTATTGAGTTTCTATCTTTATTGGCTTTTTATCTTTTTTGACTTTTTATTGACTTTGACTTTTAAAAAACTGTTGTCTCTTAGTCACGATTAGTCCCTTAGTTGTCCGTCAGTTACGGTGAGCAGTAGATTAAAGTCACCAGTTCTGATTGTGCATTTGTCTATTTTTCCATATAGTTCTGTCAAGTTTTGCTTTACATATTTGAAACTATGTTACTAGAGGCATACAAAGTTATAACTGTTACATCTTTCTGGTAGATTCCCCTTTCCTCATTGATCAACGCTTCTCTTTATCTCCAGTAAGGCTTCTTGCCTTGAAGTCTACTTTGACATTCGAATGGCTGTATCAAATTTCTTCTGTTAGTGTTTGCATTATGTATCTTTTCCCATCCTTTTACTTTTAATCTTTCTATCTTCCTGTAATTAAGGCATATTTTTCTAAGCAGCATGTGGCTGGGGTTTTTTTTTCATCCAATCTAGCAAACTTTGTATTTTAATCAGTCCATTAGCATTTAATGTTAGACTGATATATTTGGATTAACTATTTGTTTTCCATTTGTCCCACTTATTTTATGTCCCTTTCTTTCTACTTTCTTGCCCTCTATTTATTATTTCATTCCTTTTTTTTCAGTCTGTTAGTCATACATTTTTTTCCTAGTCTGGTATGATGACTTTAGAGATTACAGACCCATCTAGTGATCCTGGAGTGCCTGAAATGTGCTAGGCACCATATAAGGTGCTTTACAAAATTAAACTCTACTCTTGACCACCCCACCAGATAGTTTTAATTATTCCCATGCTACAGAATGAATAAATTGTTCATCAGTTATTCCTTCTCTGGCTTTCTTGATCTCCTTGCCACTGACAAAAGGCTACCAGGTACTGTTGTGTATGCTGTACACTGCACAACTCCACGGCCTTCGTTCACATTACCCAGCGGTGACTAGCCCTTATGTTATCCCTCCATCCGCCCCACTCTGTGGGCCCAGGGCATTTGCTCCAGTTAAATCTCCCAGGTACGATTACAGGTGTCATTAATGTTTAAATTCTTCCTGCAAATATTTCCTATGGAAACATAAACTACCCCCTTGTTTATTTCCACACATGGCATGTTGCTCACAGGCAGAAAACCCAACGGTTATAAGAGAAACTGTCCCTTTTCTTGGCCTGCAGAAGAGAGCACAGTTCTGCCTTGCAGTCTGCTGCAGGTTCCCAGGATTTGGCACCCCAGAGGAGCCAAGCGCAGGCTGCCCTGGGCCCCCCGCACCAGCGTGCTTGCTCAGGAACTGTCTGGGCTGAGCGGAGGGTCAAGCCTCCAGGTGGTGGCAACAGAAAGTGAGTGGACGGAATTTGGAGCCTCTTCTCTCTGTTAAACTGCAGTTACCCCTGAGAGCACAGCACCGGCTTCTATCAGCTTAAGCACTTTGTCCTGAAACTTCCACCTTGCACCCAGAGAAAGGTCAATTCCCCCGTTTCTCCTCATTCGGCTCCAGCTTGCCTGGGCATCATTAGTACATGTGCTGCCAAAGCGAGCACTGCCTGGACATCATTAGATGTACAGGACTTTGTCTTCTTTCTTATTTTTCCCTCCAGCTAAGTTATGTATTTGTCAAGGAGGTGGATTTCCCACCTATTCATTTGTCTGCCTCCACTCACTAGATTATGAACTCCAGGAAGACATGGATTTGTTTTTCTGTTTTGTTCACTGTTGCATCCCCAACACCT